TGTGCCTACCTTGTGTCTGCCCGCCTCTCTGTGCGTGCAGGTGTCGCAACGAGGCTATGAGGTACTGCTAGGTGCGTTTCCCTCCACCCTGCCACCCTCCCATCCACCCCACCCCGTTTTGCACGTGCAATGTTTACCCTCGTACCTCATTCTCCCAACCACGTGACAACCCCCACCGCAGACGGTGGGGTGCGCTTGTTCCGCTTGTCCCGCCTCCCTCACCCGTGTGCTCCACGCCTTTCCACGCGGCTTAGCGCCCCCCTCCTTATGTGCCCTTCTACTCCCCTCACTCCCCCATTGGCTCACCCATCGCTGCTCCTCGCTCACCTTGCGCACATGGCCCCTCCCAATCATCCGAGGCAGTGAGTCAGTTCACGCTGTACGGCCAGCCCAAGGGCAACAAGCTCGACTTCCACGTCGCCATGCCCCCGCAGGAAGCCAGCTCCTTCTACAATGACTTGGTGCACCGCGTGCGCCGGGCCTACCACCCCGACCGAGTGAAAGGTGAGGTGCTGCACGGCAATGCAACCAGTGTGTGTGCGCAGTGTGGCTGGGAGAAGGGATAGAAGCCCACACACACAGCCTAGAGACCCTGTTTCTGTGTCTCAACCCGCACTCTCCGTTGCACTCCACTCCCTCCCCTTCACCCCGCAACTTTCCCGTGCATCCCGCGCTTCCTATGCTTTCGCACCGCCACACGGTTCTCCCTCTCACACCTCCTGTGTGTGTGTGTGTGTCTGTCCCCGTGGCCCCCTGCCCTGTGTGCGCCCCTGCACTGCCCGCCTCGCGTCCACTGCAGACGGCATCTTTGGCGCCATGATGGAGGTCAGTGGTCAGGGGTGGGTGGTAGGGGGGAATGCGTATGATGGGCGGGTGGTAGGAGGGGTTTTTGAGACGTCTCGAAAGCCCTGCACTCTCCGCCCGTCCACCGCAGACGGCATCTTAGGCGCCATAATGGAGGTAGTGGGGTGGTCAGGCGGGTGCTAGAACGGGGGAATAGGGATGTGAAAAGAGGGTAAGGAGGGGCCAGGGGCCAGTTGTGTGCTGTGGTGTAGTACGGGGATGGAGTGGTGCATTCTCGGTGTGATGCAGGTGCCATGCATGGTGTATTGTCATGCATGCCTTTCCAATGCCAGCCTGCCAGCGTGCTTGTGGATGCCCCACCATGACCCCATCCGTCCCACCTACCGTGTCCATGTGTGGTCCCTGTGCTGTGACTGCAGGTGCACATAGCCAACAGCGGCCCCGTCACTCTCTTCCTCGACTCACGCAAGCAGTCAGGCACAGACAGCAATGGGGGAAATGCAGGCAACGGGGACAAGGAGGGGCAGTGAGGTGATTGGCACGGCTGGGGAGAAAGGGGCAAGGGCGGTGGTGTGGCGAGGTGAGGGCTGTGGTGCGGAATGGTTCATTGCAGCTGGCTGTGCTGTGGAGCACAAAGCAGCTGTGGTGTGGTTCAGCGACAGAGGCAGGCCAGAACTGGTGGGTGGGCAGGCGCTCTTAAGCCCCCATGCAGGCATATGGCATGGCATGGTGAGCGGCTGCCCTCTGAGCGTGGTTACTGATCCTCCCTCCTGCTCTGACCCAGAGCTTTCCGAGGAGCATATGAGACTAGTGTAGTCGGTGGCAGGGTGGCAGTGTGCCTTATAGTTGCAGTTTCGACCAGGTCACAACCCCTGTATTCAAGGCAACCAAAGCAATTTGATTGAAGGCATCTGATGAGTGATGTTTTGTAGAAACTTGCAAGTGTGTGCAAGCCTTTCATAGTACAATTAGTATAGGATAGCAATGATTGGATTAGAATCATTCGAGTACAGGCATGGCTGGCATGAGCACATGCCTTATTGTTGATTCCTACTGCTGAAAACAGCACTGCACAGCACAAGCGTGCCAGCAGTAGCATGTGACCACACTCACATGCCCCCTCTCTCACCACCTCCTCCCCGCCTACCCACGGGACATGAGTCGTCTCAAAGTGCCCAGCCCCAACCCCCGCTTGCTGCCCCCGCTCCCCACCTCTCCCTGCTGCACGCCCCTCCCCCACCCCTCCCCCTGTGCCTCCCACCCCTCACGCCTCTCCCCCGCCCCTGCCGCACCCCACACGCTCCTTCCTCCGCCCACCCCACCACCACCACTGCTGGTGCCACCATCGTAACTGCCGCCATGAACATAACCACCACTGCCCCTGGCGGACACAGCAGCAGCAGTGGGCGCCAGAGGTGCCACTCTGGTGGAGCGCCGCGAGTCACTGAGCGACCGAGGGATACCCATGCCCATGCCCGTGCCCGTGCCCTTCACACCCATGCCCATGCCCACTTTGGCCCTGCCCCTGCTGCCACTGCCACTGCGCCACAACATGCCCATTAACCCCTTCCGCTGCTGCTGCTGCTGCTGCTGCTGCTGCTGCTGCTGCCCTCCCCAACTCCTTCCTCCACTCCCTCCTGCACTCACTCCAGCACTCCACCCCCCACCACCCTCGCCACCCCACCCGCCTCCACCATCTCGCCCCCCGCCCTGCACAGTGCTGCTGCTGCCACTGCTCTCCACCTCGCTCCACTCCCTTGCACCGCTCTGCACCGCAGCAGTGCCGCCTGCCAGGGACCAGAAAGACCCAGCAGGCCGGTCATGGGGAGGCAGGGGCCACGAGGGGTGGGGCGGGCAGTGCAGGGAGGAGGAGGGTGCACACCCACTGCCCGCATCTGACACCTGCTGCTCACTGCCAGCCTGCTGTTGCTCGCCGCCCGCCCTAAGCTGCTCGCTGCTGCTCCCCACGTGTCGCTCCTGCGCCTCGTGCTGCGGCCACCAGGGCTGCGGGGTGGTCTGGGGGTGTTGGAGGGAGGAGTGGCTCACATGGTGGCGCGGGGGGAGAGTTGGCGGGGGGAGGGCGGGTGGGGGAAGGACGGGCGGGGGGCGCTGCCCCATGGAGTGGGTGTGGGCGCGGGGGATGAGCAGAGGATGGGGGGAGAGCGAGGGGGAGGAGGGGGACGTGGAGGAAGGGGAGGCGGGAAGGCAGGGGAAGGAGAAGGGGGAGGCGTCTGGAGGGGAGGTGTGCGAGGGGGAGTGTGTGTGCTGGGATGCAGGGGGGGTGGATGCATGCCACTCGTGGCTCTTGGAGCATGCGGCAGCACCAGCACGTGGCAGCAACGCAGCAGCAGCAGCGCTGTCAGCACTGTGCCGCATCCACTCCGCTCCCACTGCCCGCTCCTCGTGTGATGCACGGCCCGCTTTGAACGGCTCCTCTGCAGCGAACGGTGACATCACTGCCGGCCCCTCCACTGCCCGCTCCCGCTCCCGCTCTCGCACTGCCATGTGCGCCTCTTGCTGCCGCCGCCCACCCTGCCACTCGCCCTGCTCGCTCCCTCGCACCTCCACCTCCTCCCTCTCGACACTCCGCCTGCTCTTCCTCTCCCCCGCTGCCGCCGCCTCCCTGCCATTCCTCTCACCCTCATCTTTTGTCTCCGCCACCCCTCTTGGCCCCTTTGCACCGCTCTCAACCCACTCGTTGTCAAGCACCCGCGCCACCTCCCACACCACCCCTGCGACCACCTCACTGCCCGCCTCGCCTGCTCCCACGTCCCTACCCTCTCCTCTCACCCCGGCGGTCTCACTTCCCTCCCCCTCGTCCTGCTCACACCGCTCTGCACGTCTCCTCACCTCGCCCCCCCCTGCGTGCAACCCTGCAGCAGAGCCATCAGAACGAGAGGCGGCACGGCTGGCGTCTCCACGGCCCTCCTCCCCTCCCTCCACTCCTCGCCTCACCTCTCCGCCTCTCTTCCTCTCTCCCCCGTTCCTCTGCCCTCCATCCCTTCTCACTCTCCCGTTCCCATTCCTCACCTCACGTTCACTCCCCACCCGCCGCACTTTCCCTCTCCTCTCCCCATCCCCCTCCCCTTTCCCTCGCTCCACCTCTTCCCTCTCCGCCTCCTCCCTCTCCCCCTCCCACCCATTCCGCCTCAGAATCGCCCCCGCAGCACTGCTGCTGCTCCGCACCTCCCCGTTGCGCGCGCCCACGCGCCTCCCCGCGCGCGGCTTGCTCCCCTGCGCGCCGTCCACCACATGCATGCCCGCGGCCCCCGCGCCCTTCCTGCTGTGCGCCGCTGGCGCTGCCACTCGCCGCGCTGGCAGCTGCGGCACCACCACCACCACCGCTGCTGCTGCTGCGGCACTTTGCGCTGCTGCTGCTGTTGGTGACACGGGAGGAGGTGCGGGCGGGGCTGCGAGGGCGGAAGGTGGCGGCGGGAGGAGCTGACTTTGTTCATTGGTCACTGTCAAGCTGCCCTCCGCCTTCTCTTCCACCACAACTCCGCTTCCCTCTGCCTCTGCCTGCTGCTGTCGCTGCCTGCCCAGCTGTACTTCCCCTTGCCTCTGCTGCTTCTTCCCCTCGCCCTGCGCCTTTTCTTCCGTTACTTGCGCCGTCCATCCGCCTCCACCCTCTCCTCTTGCTGCCTCCTCTGCACCTCCGCCTCCTCCGCCTTTTCTGACACCTCCGCCTTCTCCTGATTCCGCCCTTTCTGCAGACTCCTCCCCTCTCTCCTCCCCTCTCTCCGCCCCCCTCTTCTGCACCAGCGCACCTGCCATTCGCCGCACTGCCACCAGTTGCCCCTCTCCCCCTCCAAATCCCCCCTCCTCCTCCCCGTCACTTCCCCCCGTTGCGCCAGTCGCCACCACCAGCGCCAGCGCGCGAGTCAGCGCCTCCATCTCCCTCCCCCCTTCTCCGCCTTCTCCCCGGCCTACACTTCCCCCAACTCTTTCCCCTTTCCCCCTCCACTGCGCGCCGCCATCCAAAGGACGCATGCTGCCCCTCCCACCCTCCCCCACGCCCTCCATTCCCCCAACTCCCCCGTCCTCCCCCACCTCGCGGATCTGCGCCAGCTGCTCTCCCCCCATCACCACGCGCAGCTGATATGCCGCCCGCCGCCACGCGCCTCTCTCCGCCAGCTGGCGCCGCCTCGTGCGCTCCTTGCTTGCGCGCAGCATGTCCAGCTCAGCGCGCAGCGACGCTGACATGGCGTCCCCCGCGTGGTCGCGCTGCTGCACCTGCCGCCGCAGGCTCCGCGCCTCCGCTTCCGCCACCGCCGCGCGCTGCCGCCACGCCTCCTGCTCCTCACGCACCCGCTCCACCTCTCCCTCCATGCGCGCTGCCAGGGCCTGAGGAAGAGGCGGGGGGGAAAGGGGAGAGGGGGAAGGGGGGAAGAAGTGGAGGGCGCAAAATGCACGTGGGATGATGGATGCGGGTGCGGATTGTGGCAGTGGGAAGAGAGTGGGAGCAGGAGAAGTGAGGTGGCCGGGCGCACACGGCTGACACGAGTGCATTCCCTGCCCGAACGCCCATATCCCACTCTCACCTGCAGCACGGCCAGAGTGCCATCACTGCCCGCACTGCCGCCCTCGCCGCCCCCATCGCCCCGCTCTCTCTTCCTCTGCCCGCCGCCCGCCTCTGTCTCCGCGCCGCCCCTCTCCTCGCCGTCTCCCCCTTCCCCGCGCTCTACCGCGTGGCCTTCCATGCGCGCGGACACGTCCTTGGTCGTTGCCACGTCAGCAGCGATGCGAGCCATGGTGCGTTCAAGATGAGCCATCTGCAGCCGTTGGATTGTAAAAAGGCCGACAGGAACGAGCACAGGGCGTTCTGTTGAAGTAATGCGTAGGCATGGCGTTTAAAGTGCTATGCACGGCACGAGTGTAGACACACAAACACATCCCCTGCTTCTCACTTCGCTCGCATCTCACCTCGCCCGCGTCGCGCAGTATCTTGCGCTTCAGCAGCCATGTCGCATCGCCGCCACTGCCGTCGCCGCTGCCGCCGGAGCTGCTGGCGCCGCGCGAGGCGGAGCTGCTGGCGGCCCACGAGAGGCGCGACGACGACGCGCTGCTCGACTCCGCCTCCGACTCCGCGCACTCGCTCCCCGCGCCACTGATTCCGCCCGCGCCGGCCTTCCCCTGCGCCTCCATGCGCCGCATCAGCCCCTCCAGCCGCTCCCGCAGCCGCCGCGCCTCCACCAGCGCGCGCCTGCTGCACCCCATGCTGCGCGCACCCGCGCCCTCCCCTCCCATTCCTCCCCCGCCCGTGTCACTCAAGCTGCGGCCGCCCGCGTCGCCTCCATCCGCAGAAACAGCGAGAGCGGGCGCAGCAGGCGCGGCAGTGGTAACGGCAGTAGAGGAGGAGTGGGAAGGCAGGGCTGCAAGTGAGCTGTGAGGGGGCGTAATCAGCAGCGCAGGGAGGGAGGCGGGCACGGTGGCACGGGCGGGCGAGTCAACGCAGTCAATGGAGTCAATGGTGGCCTTGAGCGCGGTCGCCATGCGCGCGGCTCGCCTCATCTCCATCTGGCTCTCGCGCCACTTGCGCTCCACCACCGCGCGCTGCTCCTCCAACTCCCGCCGCGCTGCCGCCATCCGCGCGCCTCCCGCCTTCCCCGCCTCTTTTCTTCCGCCTCTGCCTCGCTCCTTACCCACGCCTCCCCCTGCCGTTCCCCAACCGTCCGACCCGGAATCGGCAGCTCGTTCGTAGCGCGTGCCGGACTTGCCGGCCGCTGATACTCCAATCGAATCGCCTCCACGGCTTCCGGTTTCCACGCTTGCGCCCTCGAAGTAACTATTGATTTCCTCCTCATCTCTCTCTTCCTCCCCGTCCTCCTCCTCTTCCTCCTCCTCCTCCTCATCGTCATCGTCGTCGAGCGACAGGCGCAGGTTGAGCGCCACGTCATCCGCGAGGGGGTTGAAGAACGCGCTTGACCCGCCGCCGAACAATCCGCTGTTCGTGGGGTCTGGCGCGTCCCAGTTATCGTCCTCCGATTCCAACTCGTTGACTCGCGTTGACCGCCACGCGCCAGTACCAATTTCGTTTCTTCCGTCCGCCCTACTCTCCGCCTCTCCATCTTTGTTTCCTGCCCCGCTCGTTGCTTCCCCCTCGTCATCCCCCTCTGCCTCCCCCCCCTTCCCTCCTCCGTAGCCAGCAATCTCCGCCTTTCCGCGCGCCTCCGCCAAGCCTGCTCCGCTCGCCACATGAAACCTCGCTGTCGCATCGGACCGTTCATCATCCGCTTCCCCCGCGTCGTGCGCCCTGCGCGGGGGCGAGGGCGCCCTGTGCTCTGCGTTCGCCTGCGCGGCAGCGCCCTGCGACGCCCATCGCGAGGCCGCCACGTGCATCATCAGCCGCTCGTTCGCCCGCAGCACGTCCTCGCTCGCCGCGCCTTCTCCTCTTTCGCTCGTCGCGCTGTCGTCGTCGCGGCTGGTCGCGCCGTGCTCCGTCGAGTCGTCGCGCGATGCGCTGGCGGGCGTCGGCTGGTTGGCGGCTGCGAGGCCCTCGGGCAGCCACGAGCGCACGTCCCAGTGGCTCGGCGCGCTCTGTTCGGCGCGCAGCTCCAAGGGACCTGGGCGGGCGGCAGGAGATGGTAAGGATTGCGCGGAAGAGGGGGAGGCAGGCCTGGTGTTGCGGAAGAAAGGGCGGGGGGAGGCGGAGGAAGCGAAAATAGAGGAAGCAGTGGCGGGAGGGGCGGTGGAGGGAGTGGAAGGCGGAGGGTGCGCAATAGCGGCAGGGGAGGGGGCGGCATCAAGGCCAGATCGCTTCTTGCGCAGGTGGCGTATTCGCGAAAGGCTGTCGGTGAGTGCCTTCATCTCCATCTCGTGCCGGGAAATGCCCTCCGACTCCATTGCCGCGCTCGTGCACGCGCCGAGCGGCGTCTAAAGTCAACTACAAGTCGCTGTCTTGTTGCACTACTACCCAGAACTGCTGAGGGTCAGATGGAAGAGGTGATTGCTGTCGTTGTCACACTGTTGGTGTAAGCGTGAGCTCACGTCAACATCGCAACTCGAGTTACGAAAGAGCTGAAACTGCTTCTAGTCCTTGTGTGACATCTCCAATCTCCTACCCTCACCGTCCTATTCTTTCCGCATCGCCATTGGTTTCTCCAGCCTTGATTGCTTTGTCCACTTTTTGAGGAGCGCCAACATGGCTGCCTTGCCTTCACTTGACGCATTTGGCTGGCACCTCCTCTCACATCCATTGCATTGCGTGATAGCGATTGCGCATTTCGCCCCTCTCATCTTAGCCCCCGCGAGCGCGACTTGTTCCTGGCATTGAGATCGCGCCCCGGCATGTGCGGGAGCACGAATCCTGTGCCTCGCGCGCATCGCGTGGGTCAAAAGTTTTGTTCCTGCCACGCACGAATCGATATTTCGTGGGTGGGCAGCGAGAAAATAGTATTTCCAGCTCAAAATGACCTTCGGGCTGGGTCAATAGTAAGAGGGGGGAATTTCCTCCCGCCTGAGATTGTTTGCTCCAATCTATTCTCCTTTTTAGGAATCATGAATCTTCAGACTAAATGAACTTCAATTGACAGTTTATAGATCAGCTTTATTAGCTACTATTGCCTTTGAGTTGTAAGACCTGAACCAGATCTGTGTATGTGTTTTCTAATAACCAGATTTAATATATTCTCGATGTTAGCTCTAGGCCTCTCGTCCTTTTTAGGGGTCATTTCTGGCACTAAAACAGAAAGGATTTGGACTGGTAACCCGAATATGATTTTGGCTCCTAAGTAACATGAACATAGCCGGACTAACGAAATCGTCAGTAACGCGAATATGATCCTGGCTCCAATTTTTGCTTGGAAGTCCGTTGCAGGAAATTGGGTTTCTCCCGCTCGTCTAGCACACCAACCCAGATTGGCTCACCGCTCGCACTGTACCTTGGTTACTGCGAAGCCATTCCCAAGGTCACAAGCTAACTCCTTTCGTACGACATAGGCTCTTGCTAGTATTCTCCTGGTAGTTCTCAAGCATCCTGTGCGATCCGTCCCCATATCGTTAGGTCCGGCTGGTGACATAGCAGTGGCCGTGCCCGAATTTTCTTTTTTCTTTAGTGATTTCCTGCCGTCGGTAGCATCACCAAGACTATTTTGACGCCTAATAACAAAGCCGTCACAATGATGCTCGGAGGGACCAGATTGAGGTTAGTTCCGTGCAAATCAATGCGTTTTCGCAGGCTATGTGACAAAATGCTTCATTTTTACACGCATCTCGATCCTACAGTTATCCTGAACGATTGTTGCTCGGCGTTTCAGGGACATGATCCGGAATGTCCGTGCGTGCAAGACAGCGGCCGAGGAGCGAGGGGTGATCGCGAAGGAATGCGCGAATCTACGGACAGCGTTCAAGGAGAACGACATCGAGTACCGGCACCGCAACGTGGCGAAGCTCATGTTCATCCACATGCTGGGCTACCCCACGCACTTTGGCCAGATGGAGTGCCTGAAGCTCATTGCGTCGCCGGGCTTCCCGGAGAAGCGCATCGGATATCTGGGGCTCATGGTGCTGCTGGACGAGCGCCAGGAGGTGCTCATGCTCGTCACCAACTCGCTCAAAAAGTGAGCGCTTGCTGCTCGCCTTTCCCCCTCACACCGAATTCGTCGGACCCGCACTGTGAATTCGCATTCACGTGTCGTGATCGTCCAAATTCGCGAATGGTTCTCGCACAACAGGTGTGCATGCAGTAAAAAGGCCCCACGTCCTCCTTTCTCTGGATCCAGTTCACGATCATGGGTCGCTCTCTTCCCCTGTCCAGCGATATCCTCCTCCTTCTGCTCCCTCCCCCTGCTCCTATCGTCCGTCCTTCTCACCCCTCCCCACCCCATTCCTTCCCCGTTCCCGCAGCGACCTGAACCACACGAACCAGTTCATAATCGGGCTGGCGCTGTGCGCGCTGGGCAACATCTGCTCCAGCGAGATGGCGCGCGACCTCGCGCCCGAGGTGGAGCGCCTGCTCAACAGCAACAACTCCTACATCCGCAAAAAGGTGACTCCGCAACGCAACCCCTCCCTGCACTCACGCCCGGGCTGCCACTGGGATGCGTGCGTGCGTGCAGTCGAGGTTGCTTGTTGTGATTCTTGGAGCACCACCTCACTCACCCCGACCTCCGCTAGAATCTCCGCTGACCCACACTCATCCCCTGCTGCCTCACACCCACTCCCCCGCCCCTTTCCCCCAATCCACCCACCCCTTTCTCCCCCTTGCGTGCAGGCGGCGCTGTGTTCGGTGCGCATCATCCGCAAGGTGCCGGACCTGGCGGAGTACCTGCTGGGGCCGGCGTCGGGGCTGCTGCAGGACAAGCACCACGGCGTGCTGCTGTCCGGCACCAAGCTCGCCATCCAGCTCTGCGACACGCACCCCCCCGCCCTCGACTACTTCCGCAAGGTCAGCTACTTACCCCTTCCCCCCAACCCTCATCCTTCGCTGTTGTTGAAATTTTCTCCATTAATTGGGGGCTCAAAGACTGGAGCTTGTGAGGGTGTTGCCACACTGATACCAGGTGGCAAGGCAGCACGTGTGAGTGAAGTAACTGGTGCTGGCTTGGCCTCTCGCCATGAACTGCCTGACTGACGCGTTTCCACCATTGCTGCCCTCTCACCACCTTTCCCCCCCTTCCCCCACAGCAAGTGCCTGTGCTGGTGCGCATATTGAAGAACCTGGTGGTGAGCGGGTACGTGCCCGAGTACGATGTGGGCGGCATCGCTGCCCTCATCACCACCTTTCCCCCTCTTCCTCCCTCCCTCCCCCCCCCCAAACAGCAAGTGCCGACGCTGGTGCGCATTCTGAAGAACCTGGTGGTGAGCGGGTACGCGCCCGAGTACGACGTGGGCGGCATCACGGACCCCTTCCTGCAGATCCGCGTGTTGCGCCTCCTGCGCATGCTCGGCAAGGGCGACCCCGACGCCAGCGACATCATGAGCGACATCCTCGCTCAGGTAGAGACTTACAAGCGTGCTGGCACATGTAGGGGAGGGGCATCCTCGCGCAGGTAGAGACATACAGGCGTGCTGCTGCAGGTATCACCTCCACCACTGCCGTATCATCCACTGTTGTGAAGTAACTATAATCTGCACTCCTCCACGTTTCACCCTCACAGCCTCTGGCCGTTTAACCTCTCATCCTCTGCACTTCTTTTCCCCGTCCCGCGTGCACGGGGTGCCCCCATTTACAGGTAGCGACGAACACGGAGGCGAACAAGAACACGGGCAACGCCATTCTGTACGAGTGTGTGCACACCATCTTTGGCGTGGAGGCCATTGGCGGCCTGCGCGTGCTTGCCATCAACATCCTCGGCCGCTTCCTCGCCAACCGTGACAACAACATCCGGTACTCTACCTCTACCCGCCCCTCCCCCCTCCCTCTCCTCCCCGACCCACCATGCCCTGCCCCTCCCTGCCCTGCCCTGCTGCCCCGGCCCGTCCCACCCCGCCCTTCTTCACACATGCTCGCACTGCGGTGCCTGCTCCATTTGCATTGTGGACTGTTTTGCCATCTCCTCCTGACGCTGTATGTGTGCATTGACTATGTGTGGGCCTATATGTGGACGGTGTTGCGGGTTTTGGTGTTGCCTTGTATGGGTGGGGGGGTACGGAGGTGTGTGGGTGCGGCTGTGCATGGGTTGCATGGGTGTGTGTGTGTGTGGGTGCGAGTGTGCATGGATGCGTGCATGCGTGTGTGCGTGGGTGTGGGCATGGCAGGTACGTGGCGCTACACACGCTGATCAAGGTGGTGGCGGTGGACACACAGGCCGTGCAGCGCCACCGCAACACCATCGTCGAATGCGTCAAGGCAAGCACCACCTCTCCTGGCTTCCTCCCACACCACCCTTCTTGTTACCCTCCCACACCACCCCACCTGCCTCCCTCCCACACCACCTCTCTGCCTCCCTCCTACACCACCCCTAAACCCCCCTCACTCATGCACCCCCACCATCGATTCCTCTTTCACGTTGTAACTGCCACGGCCTGACACTCTCACTGACTTCCTCTCTCCCCTCTCCACCCCCTTCCCACCCCTTCTGTTTTTATGGCTGCACGAGCAGGATTCAGACATCTCCATCAGGAGGAGGGCGTTGGAGCTGGTGTGTGCGCTGGTGAACGAGGGCAATCTCAAGGCGCTCACACGCGAGCTGCTGGACTACCTGCGCGCCGCTGACTCCGACTTCAAGCCCGACCTCACCTCCAAGATCTGCGCCCTCGTGCAACGGTGGCCGGCCCCCCCTCCCCCCGCCCCCTCCCCCACAAGCCCTCCTCCCCTCCTCTTCGCTTCCCTCCTTGTCTCCCTTCTCCCTCCCCCCTATCGTTTTGTGTGCCATGTGCTGCCCGCCTTCCCTCATCCCAATTATTGTGCCATGTACTTCAAGCCCGACCTCACCTCCAAAAACTGTTCCTTCGTGCAACGTTGCCTCCCCCACCTGCTCCCACCCTTCCCCCACTTCCCCCCCATCCCCTTCCTCTCTTCCTCCTCTCCCTATTCTCCGCTCCACCTGTCGTTTTGTGTGTCAAGTGCTGCCCGCCTTCCCTCATCCCGGATTGTGCTCCGCCATGTGTCCTGGTGCCTTTCTGACGCGCCTGAAACATCAACCTGTGGTGTGTGTGTCCTGCCGGCCATGCATGTGGATTTGTATCTGCGTGGTGGGGGTGCATGTGCATGGGTGGATGCATGTGCATGGGGGGTGCATGTGCATGGGGGGTGCGTGTGCATGGGGGGTGCATGTGCATGGGTGGCTGCGTGTGCATGTGTGTGTGTGCATGGGGTTGCATGCAGGTACGCGCCCAGCAAGCTGTATCACCGTGGAGATCATGCTGCGAGTCATGACCGAGGTACGCCCCCTCTCCTCTTCTCTTCTCCCCTCCCCTCTTCTCCCCTCTTCTCCCCTCCCCTCCCCTCTTCTCCCGTCCGCTCCCCTCCCCTCCCCTCCATTCTCCTCTCCTCGCATCCACCACTTTCCTCACATCAACCTACCTTGAATGTTTGCAACATGCGTTTTTGTCTCGTGATTCACTCGCGAGACTCACTCGCAGCTGTTCACGCCTGCTCTTGAGTAACGGATGTACATCCATGCACATGCCTCCCTCCTCGCCCCCTCCTGCTGTGCATGCGTGTGAGCGCCAGGCAGGGGAGTATGTGACGGATGACGTCATCCGCTTCCTGGTGGTGCTCATCAGCAACGCACCTGAGCTGCAGGGCTTTGCAGTGCGCTCGTTCTTTCCACGCCATGCGCTCCTGGAAGGGCCAGGTCCGCCGCTCCCCCGTCTCCCCCCCCTTCCCCCGCCGTTTCCTTGCCCTCCCCTTGCCCTCCCCTCGCCCTCCCCTCGCCCACCCCTCTCCCGACCTCTGAAGCACTTTCGTTAGCCTTGCCTGTATGCCTGTATGCATCACCATCGCCTGGCTTCCACAAGTACCTTATGCTGCATGTGCTTGCGCCCCATCTGACGGGCATCTGTGCCTCGCCACTCCCTGTCCTCGTGTGGTGTGGCAGGAGAGTCTAGGGGTGGGTGACGGTGTGGTGTCTGGGCGAGTACGGGGAGATGCTCGTCAACAACACAGGGCTTCTGCAGGGCGAAACGCCCCTCCAGGTGCCTCCCTCCCTCCCTCCCTCCCTCCTCCCCTCCCTCCCTCCCTCAATTCCTCCCTCCCTCCCTCCCTCCCACCTCCCTCCCTCTCTCCCTCTCTCCCTCCCTCCCTCCCTCCCTCCCAACCCCTCCTTTTGCTCTTCTGCACCCGCTGTCATTCGTTCCACGCTTCATGTTCCTCGTCTACTCAATTTCTTGTGAATTACCATCTAGAACTCCATGATCCTCATTTCACCTGCAGCAGAATGCACTTGACCACCGTTCACCAACCACCCATGTCTCGTGCACCCTATTTTTACCTCAATTTTCCATCCATCTGTCCGTCCGTCCGTCCATCCGACCACACACCTACCATACACCACCCTTGCCTGGCGTACACCCACCCCTCCCTGGAACTACCCCTGTGTTTGTGTGTGTGCATGGTGGGGTGAGCAGGTGGTGGAGGCAGAGGTGGGTGCAGATGCTGGAGGGCATCATGAAGGACACGCGTGCCACGCCCACCCTCAAGGCCTACGTCCTCGTCGCCCTCCTCAAAGCTCTCCTGCCGCTTCCCCTCCTGCTCCCAGTGCGCCCCTTGCTGCCCGCCCTCCACACTCTCTCTCTCTCGCTCGCCTTACCTCCTCGCTCATCTCACTTTCCTCACAGTAATGCTCTCTCATGTGTGCCCAGCAATTGTACTACTGTCCCCATCACTTCGCTCGTCTCTTCACCGTCTCCCTCTACACCGCTCCACATCTCTCCCCGCCGCTTTCTCCCCCCTCTCCCCGCCTGCAGGCGCATAAGTGTTGGAGGAGCAGCACCGGCACAGCCTGGTGTTGAGCTGCAGCAGCGCTCAGTGGAGTTCAGCGCCGTGCTCGCCCGCCACGACAAGATCAAGTCTGCCTCGCACACCCCCCCCCCCTTTTTTCCCACACCCCCCTTTCCCTCGCATCCCCGTTCTCTCCCGCCTGTCTCATCTCCTATGGGTTCTCTCCCATGGTTCCTCTGTGCATTGCTGGCCGCTGCCTTGCCTCGTGTTGTGTGCCTGCATTGCGCCTCCATCTGCCTGCACTTTGCACCTCCTTATTGGTCACACTGTGTCCATTGCACTTCATGCTAGTCCTCTATCACTGATTTCCTCCACCACCTCACACCACAGAATGAATAACACCAGCCTGAACGCAATGCACACCACAGAATGAATAACACCAGCCTGAACGCATGCACACCACACAATGAATAACACCAGCCTGAACGCATGCACACCACACAATGAATAACACCAGCCTGAACGCATGCACACCACACAATGAATAACACCAGCCTGAACGCATGCACACCACACAATGAATAGCACCACCTGCACGCCTGCGCACCACACAATGAATAGCACCAGCCTGAAACGCATGCACCACCACACAATGAATAACACCAGCCTGAACGCATGCACACACCACACACAATGACTGAACACACATCCTGAACGCAATGCACCCACACAATGAATAACACCAGCCTGAACGCATGCACACCACAGAAT